TTATTTAGAATTGTTGTCTGTCTCTTTGTCACTTTGCAGGACCATGACTACCTCAACAGCAGGAAAAGGGGGATGTCCAAGAGACTGACCAGGGACCTCCCACTTGTCAAGCTTCTTAACATTTCCATCACCATGTCCCCTTTCCTGGGGGTGGACACCACACGGTTCCACACCTCCCTTATTGATGGCACTGAGGCCTACTGGCTCAGTCTCCCTTCAGCCCCTCAGGGACAGCTGGTGAGGCATGAGAGGCACACACTATCATATTGTAAACCACTTAGATAGAGATTTATGTAGTCAAAGGAGCTTGCAAAGAAAAGCGTCTGGACTTCTTTAAGTTACTTTAAGCTTATTTTAAGTTATTTTAAGCGTCTGGACTTAAAGAAGTCCAGACGCTTTTCTTTGCAAGCTCCTTTGACTACGATGACCTGGATGACTGAGAACCTTCACAGACATGAGATTTATGTATTTTCATTTAGTTTGTTGTTGTGGTAGGCAGTATAAAGAACCCACCGCATTTTTATTTCATGCTAAGTACAGTTTTCCCTGACAGTGAACTTTCCTCACGCTACTAAAACACTCTATTCGGTCAAACATGAAACCAGACAGAGATTTGGGGATATTTTCCTCCTGCATTGCAGACTCTCTGCATTAATCAGCTCCAGTTTGGTCAAATTAAAAAAAGCAATGCAATGCAAATGCAGTAGGACTAAACCAGGAAATCTATAATTGCAGCAGCAGTTGCACTGCGGTTTATAATTAGTCAATTATCCACAGAGAAAATAATAGCAGCGTAAAATAAACACCAATTAGAATGCAGTTGCCTCTGTCCCTCTATCCAGATCCCTGTGATGAGTCAGTGGCGAGGAAAGTTCTGTGTAAAGCTGAACATCACAAATCCAGGAGCAGTGAGCTGGTTCCTGGACAGGGTAGGAGCCCTTCAAGCCCATTTAGGGATGGAGTACGTCATGCTGGAAGGGGGCGAGGGGAATCTGTTTGAGGAGCAGGCACTGCGGCCACCGCAGGCTCTGGGTGGAGACAAGTACATCAGCCTGCTGGCTGACCTGGCCACCAGGATAGGAGATTCCACCATTATGACTGCAGGGACACGGTAATCTGTCAGCTGATGCACAATGGCATTGCTTCCCGTAAGGCGCATTTGTGTTTATTAGGACTTTTTCTGTGTCTCAGGTCCAGTTACAAGCCACTCTTTGTGAGGATGACCCCCCTGCAGTCTGATTGGAGCCCGATGGGTCTTAAGGCCATCATTCCCAACCTGTTGCACCACACTTTGCTGGGATACAACTTCCTCATTCCTGATGCAGTAGGTAATACGAGAACCTACGGGTCCCTTTTTTTATCACATAGTGATATTTTTGCCTTTTTGTGAGAACTGAAAAAAGCGCTTGATTAGTGTTGCTTTGGACAAAGCTGGGAGCTGTCAGTAAAACATGGGCCTGATATAACTGCCGTGAAACATCTTAAATTGTTCATTAGATATGAGGTATGATAGTTTTAATGCAATGTTATAGCCCACACTAGCTTGCAAAACACCAGTAATTAATATGAACCAGATCTAAAAGGATAAATTGATCTTTTTCCAAAATAGAGAAGCCAACTTACATCATATTGCGTTGTCTTAAATCTGCAAATTAAAAAAGCCACACGAGTATCAAGTACCCACTGTTTAACTGTTTTTGTCTTTTCTCTGCCTCTGCACAGGTGGCTCTCTGTCTGGAGACCTGGTCACAGATGAGGAGTTGTTCATCCGCTGGCTGGAGATTGCAGCCTTTCTTCCTGTTATGAGCTTTCACACACCCCCCTGGATCTTCGGGGAGGGCCAGGTATACTACCGGTCTGCCTCGTGTAGCCACCCGGCAGCAGCTTGCGTTGGGTGCCATTACAGCTGTGTCATCCACATTAGTGACAACCTAGCAGGTTCACATTCTGCTCATGACTTGCTAACCAGATTTTCGCTTGTGAAGATTTACTGTGGAGAGATCAAGTGTAGCGAGGTGTGAATGCTGCCAATTAGATGTTCTAAAAGGGGGTGGGAGATTATCCTTCCTTCCCACACGCTGCTGATGAAAACGGGACCTTAGAGAAGTGGTTCATTGGCCCAACAGCCAGCCCTCAATTCTGAGGGTCAAGCGCTGAGAAGTTCCCACCGATTCTTTTGCAGGGGAGCTAGAGGACTGCTGAGACCTGATCTATCAAAACTCAGATCTGACTCTCCCCTCAGCAGGAGGGGCAGGACTGAACCATGAACCTCTCCATGGGAAATGAGGAACACACTATTCACCATGCACAGCAGGAAAACAAAGCCTTAAGTCTCTGATGACAGGTATTGATGCTTTTGACAATGTGTTACCAGAGCTCAGGTTCCTGAACAAAAAAACGCTTTATGCTTCTGCAGAGGAAGAAGGGTAATGCCCTCCCTAACCCCCCTTCCCCTCCCGCCTTTCCTCATCTCATTCACCTGTGGTTACGAGTCCATCTGGTCTGAATTACAATCCCTATTCTAGATTTATGGCTCGCTCTCACTCTCAAGGGCCACTTCAGCAGGAATGATAATGAATTTGAGGACAAGTCTTGGAAAAATACTTTATTGTGGCAATTAAGATTTCCATGAGTAATTGACAAGTGTGACAGAGTGGGAGTGATCAAATGACATTTTTTCCACTAGGAGGGAGCTGAAGTAGCAAAATATATTAGTTGTGACTTGTGTTGTGTGAGAAAGATAAAAATAGGCCTTTTCGGACGGCGAGGCATTTGACAGCAGCAATGTTTTCCATTTTGGTCTCTTGCATGGTCTTCAGTTCATAAACCCAGATGAAGTGAGAGCGGGGAGATATTTTAGTGGAGATAGACTGTTGCATTGCCCGTGATAAATGACTCTTTTATAGACATTTTTGCTACAGTTTTAAATGTGGTGCACCTTTATTTCCAGAATGTGTGAGACTGCAGTCGGTCACAGACAGGTCACAGCGGCAAATACGTTGGAATCGAATAGCAGCAAAGCCTCAAAGCCACACACATGCCTGGCTTCTCAATTAGGGAAAGATTCACTCAAACCAGTGGCTCATTCCTACAAATGGTCTCAATCCCAAGTCATAAAAATACATTTTTTTATAGAGGCGGTCAAGTTTTGTTTTTGTCGTGAGACTCTGAAGAGGATGTGACCCTTCCAGGAATGCTGAAGTCGTTTGGGCAAAGGGAGACAGCACAAAGACTTTTGGCAGAGTTAAGCCCACTAAGTCAACAATGAGTGACTGTTGAGTTGAGTCTGCGTGTAGAGATGGCACAAATGTCCTTAGCAGACCTCACTGTCAATATTTTTCTTGTACTGAAATCCTTGCGGTGGATGATTTAGTTTAGGAAAGGGCTGGTCACTGGTTTCAGTTACTCTGTTGATCCAGATTTCTTGAAAATAGATTCTTTGGATGAACGATGTGAAAAAGGCCTAAGTGGTTCTGAATGAAAATACTGCCCAAGGAAAAGGCAACGATGGATTTTAATTAGGTCGTTATAATCCTAATAGTTTTTGTTTTGTTTTTTTGTTTTTTCTAGGGATGCAACGATACCAATTTTTTCAAACCGATACGATACCGATACTTGGATCTGAGTACTTGCCGATAGAGTACAAAAACCGATACTTCTACCACACACACAAATACAATTAATTGGAAGACAGGTTTTATTATATTCCCTGCCGATAAAAAATAAAATCTTAAAATCAGAGTCTCCACATTGTAATTTTACAAAATATCACTGAACTATTGGCACTGTCTGGGCGGTTGGGAATTTCATATCGCAGCTCGAGTATGCTGAGAAGAATCCTATGTTTTCCACGGCCGGCATTGGCTGGTCATCCAGAGCGATAAAATGAGTCAGAGCCTCTGTTATTTTAACTGCCCGTGGATTTTCTCTTGACATTTTTCATTGCTTTTCCAAAACCTGAGTTAAAGTTGGCTGTTCCGGTCCACACTGCTGACATTTTGTTTAGCCTAGCTACATCAGACTCCAGTTTCTCTTTTTTATCTGGAGCTGCCAGTCTCACTCGCCTAACCCTGTGCCTGTTTAGCGCGGGATGTCCCCCTAGTGGCCAATCTAAAAAACTACAACAGAAATGACAAGCCACCCTCTGATTAATGAAATAAGTTAGTATCGGTTCATGGTATCGGTTAACTTTTACGAGTATGAGTACACACACATTTTACAGTATCGGCCCCGATACCCGATACCAGTATCGGTATCGGTGCATCCCTAGTTTTTTCTTTTTCTTTTTACTGTAATCCACAATAATGTTCGTTCTCGTGTCTCAAATGGTAATCCACAGGTGCTAAACCTAACTCGGAACTACCTAACAAGGCACCAGAGGGATGTGGCGCCGCTGATTGAAAAGTATGCAGAGGAGTGGCAGGAGACAGGAAACCCCATCTATCGCCCAATGTGGTGGCTCAATCCAACTGACTCCATGACCTTTACCATCAATGACCAGTTCCTCATTGGAGATGAGGTCAGTTAATGGAGTTCTGATGATGTGGGATCTAATGCACTTGGCATGTTTTAGCAACTTCAGCCGTATCCTGATGTCACGCATGTGCGATCTCCCTTATATGTGTTTATTTTCAGGTGTTAGTGGCACCCGTGGTGGAGAAGGGGGCAGTGCAGAGGGATATATATTTACCTGACGGGGGCTTTCAATGGCAGGACAGTCAGAACGCACGGGTGTTCGACGGGGGGACGTTCCTGCACGACTACCCTGTCCCCCTGACGGAGGTGGCTGTTTTCTTACGGAGGAGCTGACTCGGATGACTGTCCCACAGAGTCACGTGATTTATCCTGTTACTGTTTTGAATCAAATTCTTTTTTTTAGGTACTTGTGCTGTTCTTAACTTGCACTTTTCTACTAAAGACCATTGACCCTGCCTCAAGTGCTGCCTTGAGACGATTTGTAGAAATATAGATATGTATATACATTTTTTTTTTTTTATACTTGCACTTTATGGTTCAAATTTTTTTTTCCTTTATGTTATTTGTCTTCTTTTCATTTGTTTTTTTTTATGCTGAATGGTTTTACCTCTTAGTGATTTGTTTCTGGACTTTTTCATCCACTCTGCTGCTTTTTTTGTTTGTTTGTTTGTTTGTTTTCTTTTTTTTAATGGTTCCGGAGAAGTATGTGTGTTTACATACTGCATTTCTACAGTCTTTAAATTTGTAGCTGCTGTTGGCTCTCTTCATAAGGAGGAACAAAGCGAGCTCCTTGTTTGCTTAAAAGTATCTGAATTTCTCAAGAAGACCAAATGAAGATGCAGAAAGACAAGGAAGGCGGTTTAAAAGGGCCTTTTGAGAGAAACACTTACTGGCGGGGAAATTAACACAGGAAGCTACATACAAGCACCATGGTACCATATGTCTTGCTCACTCTATGGAAAGGCTCTTACTTGAACTCATCAGGCCAAAGGGCCGATGTTTTATGAAAGATGAATGTACCTCAAGTAACGGATATGAATTGCTTTACAAAGTCATTAGACACAACAGCCTATCACCCCATAGTTCATATTCTTAGAATAGTTAAGTCATAGACATCCATGAATGTCCCTTTGTACTGTATGCTGATGAACTTGAGGCCAAGCCACTTTCATCGTAACTTTGCATATATTTAAATTTTAGATTAGAGTTTAACCTGCTGTATCAAGCGCTTTTAAGTGAGTGCCTCTTTCTTTACTGACTGTTGATGTGTTCTTACATGTGAGCCAAATTAAGTTGTAAAGACAACCTTGCTGATGACACCACATGGGTGAAAAGGAGATTTTGTATAAATACATCAGTCCCTTTTTATCTGATAATCTGACTGTGACATCACTCCCATTCATGAGTATGACTCCACCAGCAGCAGCCGTGAGGCTCAGTGAAAGACTTTGGACCAGGTATAAAGATAGTTTGGTCCAAAAGATGCAAAATCTGACTTCCAATTGTGCTAAAAATCACTCTTTCGGAGATTTCTCATTTGTCTATTCTGTACAAAAACCGAAATGGAAAAACAAAAAGTTGTATTTTTGTTATTTCTTAAGCCTATTTTACTGAAACCGGTAAATTTATTTTCCAATTTCTATGCAAACGTTGAGTGTCTTCAGTTTATAATTACTTGATAGGAACATATGATTGATGTGCCATATGATGGTACTTTTTTACCTACTACTACTCTCACCATAAAAATAAAGTACAAAACTTATATTTCTCCAAATGTTGAGCCACATCAAATAAATACAATGCTCTCAGTTGTAAGCATAGCATGTTTGCATATGAGAAATTGGCTGTTTGGAGAGAAACAAAGTATTTGCGAAGGATTCAATTGCTGGAATTGTTGAAAGCACAGATGTGCAGAGGCCCACCTGACATAAACCTTCATGAGTAATTCAGTCACATCATCACATAGCCTACTCTCTGGACTATCTTTACACTTCTATCACTTTCTTAAGTTTAGTTGTTTACTTGTAAAAGCTGTTTGAACCCAGACTTAATGCTCTAAGCAAATGAAATGTAAATGAGACTGATTCTATTTTTTGATTATGTTTAAAATCAGTCCAAGAAGAGGCGTAATCTTTATACCCTGAAGCTCGGCTCTTTATAGTCAACTGTCAGTGTTGCTTTTTTTTTTTTTTTTTAAATCAATTTGTTCCATAAAGGAAAATCTTAAATGGCAAACAGTGAGGATACAAACTCTTTAAACTTACCATTTATCTCAACTAAATTGATTGTGTAACTTTGATCTAAAAAGTTTACTGTATCAGCTCAAACACTCAGGTCTACTGAAGTTTCCTATCAGATCACCAAATGTCTTAGTGCAACGCAGTATGTTGTGAACACATTAACGTCTTAATCTCTCCTGGGGCAGAATGTACAATGGACACACTGTGATTTCCCATAGCCCTTCATGTGAGGAGCTTTTCTTTTTCCCATTATATAATGCTGTTATGGAATGCTTTGGTAGGTCAATGTAGGAGTTGCAGGAAAAGCTTTGTTGTGTTATTCCTTCCCTCTACAGACTGAGTGAGCCATGTGCCTTAATATGCTACAAATCTGGACGACACTGGTGTCTAGATTATTGCAGTATCAGCAATGACCGTAATACAATGACTGTGCCATTACAAGTGTTTTTCTCTCTTCTGTAAATCAGATAACATAGAATGACAAAGTTGCAATAAAGTTTACATTTTCTTACTTAACTCATCAAGTTTGCATTTGCTTCATGACATACTGGAGGCCACATTCAAGTGGAGTTGCCAGATTTTAATTATTATTACTTCAGATTTTTTTAGTTCAAATCCAATCCTGAAGTTTGCACATTTTTTTCTGTCTCCATGCTGGTTTGTGTTTGACTGTGCAGGCAGTGGCAATCTGCAGTTACACCAATCAGGCGCAACATTATGACTACTAACGGGTGACGTTAATAACACTGATTGTCTCTTCATCATGGCACCTGTTAGGGATATATTAGGAAGCAAGTGACCAATTTGGCTGTATCCCAATTCAGGGTCTGCAGCCTTAAAGGCCGCATTTTAAGGCCGATTACGTCACCGCGACGCGACGAAGGCTGTCCCAATTCGAAGGCTGCTCGAAATGCGGCCCTCAAATGCGTCCTT